CTGCTGAGTATGGCCCCCAAAAAACAACCGCCACCGTTACCTCCGCCCTGTCCTCCATCGTCGCTCTGTTTGCCGCCAAATCTTGTTAGACGCGGTCGTTTGGGGATGAGTCCACCACGTGTTGTGGCTAGCCAGATAGAGGCAAGTCGTGGAGGTCGTGCTAGTCCGTTGCATCCGACGGCGTGGAAACCGGGTGGGCAAGCAATATGCACAGTGCCACGGGATTTGACTCCATCGTTCCCGCGTAAACGAGCTTCCCTGTCACCACCAATTCATGAAAATGTGCAAGTTGCTATTCGTGGAGAGTGGTGTTTGGTACTATCACATGCATCTGTGGGTTTTTCACCGGTTCGCGAGCACCATATTTGTTCATTTCTTTTTTTTTGTTCGAAAACAGTAACTAACACTTTTTTCCGTTTGGATTTCGTGGTATCTGTTATGGTGATGGGTTATTTGTCTCTGTTTCCTAATCCAGATTGCTAAACTCCATTTTAACTGATCGTTCTTATCCTTTTCCCCCTCCCATCATTCCGCCTTGTGTCACCGTCCGGTTTCCGACCACTCGTGGGTTTTATATGACTCACCTCGTGATTGTGTGCACTCTGGGTATCTAGTCCTCGGGATCCGACTTACATTGCCAGTGAGTTGTTCGCTTGCGCGTGGTTACTTCTCGTCCTCTATATATAGATTGTTTACGTTTTGATCACCTCAACCGGTCACATAAAGCTTTCGAATTACTTGATCCCATGGGGGAAAATACCCCACCTCATTGATCTCCTTCATGTCGCTCCCATCGGCACCAAGTCGAATGAGACATTTCAGATACTTAGGGATGGTGTTTGTACTGAGAAAAAAATTCTATCATTTTCGGCTCTCCCTTTGCCGCTAATGTTTATCCGTTCCGAAGGAAACAGGTCAAACAACAGTGATCAGTTTTCTCGGCTCTGAAACTATCTGCTGCTTTCCCGGTCTTTTTGTATCCTCTCAGTGCCGTATTTTGGCGAACCAAGCTACTCTGCCGAGTTCCAGTTTGGTTGTTGCTGCATGTCATCATTGTGCAAGAATAGGACACAGCTTGTGACACATTTTTTTGTTTTACGCCGTTCCGATACAAAGCAGGTTAGTCATGGTGGTGGCGATGATAACCATCAAGTACTTGGATTTATAATCCCTTGCATGTACCGATCCACAAGGCTCGATCGCTGTTTCATGGAGCAAATTTGCGGCAATGAGCTTCGTTCTTAACTGGTTCAATATCACTCCTTCGCCGGTGGGACTGTAAGTGGTTCCCACCCGAAATCTCTAGATAATTTTCATATTCATCTTACAGTGATATGCTATGAAAACTCCACTTCCTATAATCTAGGATTCCAGTTCCCATGACAACAATGTGCAGCACTGTTTGTCGTACTCAGGAAACCTTTAGGCTACCTACCACTGCACACACACCAACATCAATCCACGCAAAATATTCGTCTTTAATGCATTGAAAAAAACCGCAATATTAGATTTTAGGTGTGTGATCAACTTGTATTGTGAAGTGATTTAATTAGTTGTTTGTATCTCAGCCGCCCAGATACACTGTTCCATGAGAGTTGCTCCCACCCTCCTAAGCGCAGCGATTAGTGAGTAGCGCCCACGTACTGCGTAGACCGGTAATTCCGTAATGTAGTCAGAAACTCCATGTTCTTCGATTATCGACACAAGTTACCGGAGCATTTTTGGTTTCATTCCAATCGGTAGAGTAAACTACAGAAGACACAGGGATTGTTGTGTGACTAAAAAATGTCAAAAGCAAGGTAGCTTCTCAGTAACCCTTCAAGAACGTCAGTGAAATCATACACTCAGCCTTTCTCATCACCATAGGTATAGCTCGATTCTTTGATCACGCACCTTGGTCTGATATAAAATAGAAGAAATGAAACTCCTGAGTTACGAAAGCCCATGGCTCATCAGTGGGACTCGGTAACCAAAGCCCTTGGATTTGAACTGAAAAACTACTTACATTTCCAATAGGATTGACGTCATTTTGAACCAGATAACAGCGAATCTGTTTACCACCGAATTCCGGTGCTTTCTGTCTTGGTTCGCATTCTAAACCTTAAGATTATGCGTACGGGGACTTGATCACCACCACCTG